GAGCTGGATGAACACAGCAGGCCAAGCAGCATCATAGGAGCAGGAAGTCTGACGTATCGGGCCTAGACCCTTCATCAGAAAAAGCGAGGCAATCCAGCTCAACGAACTCCTGAGTTGAAAAACCAGGCGGGAAAACACACTGGCACTGATGATGTTACCCAGCAGGGTAATGAAACGTCTGCGGAACAACGAAACAGCTCGGTGAGCCAACCAACCACAACACCCACAACCCGAGCTACAAATCTACTCCAAAACCTTAATCCCAATTTCCTGCACTTGTCCCATATCCTTGAATGTTACGATATTTGAAGTGCTCATCCAAATATTTTTTATAGGTGGTAAGATTTCCAGCCTCCACTACCTTCCCAGGCAGTGCATGCCAGATTCTCACCACATGCTGAGTAAAAACATTTTACTCCAAATCCCCTCTGAATCTCCTGCCCCTTACCCTAAAACTGCCCTCTTGAGACTGACGCCTCAACCAAGGGGAACAGCTGCTCTCTATTCACCTGTCCATACCTCTTACAATCCTATATACCTCAATTATGTGCCCCCTCAGTCTTCTCTGCTCTAAAGAAAACTATTCAAGCCTATCTAGTCTCTCTTTATAGCTGAATTTCTCCATCCAAGGCAACATCCTGGTGAACCTCCTCTGTAACTCCTCTAGTTCTATCACATCCTTCCTGTCATGAGGTGACCAGAACCGCATACAGTACTCCAGTTATGGCCTGACTAATGCTCTATACAACTCCAACATTACCTCTTTGCTGTTATACTCTATGCCACAACTGATGAGAGCAAGTGTCCAATATGCCTCCTTAACTATCCTATTCACATGATTTGCTGACTTCAGGGATCTGTGAATAATTACCCCAAGATCCCTCTCTTCCTCTAAACTATCCAGTGTGTTGCCATGCATTAAATACTCCCTCATCTTGTTTCTTCTTCCAAAGTACATCACCTTGCCCTTATCAGGGTTATATACCATCTGCCACTGGTCTGCTCATTTGACCAACCTATCTAAATCTTCCTGTAATCTAAAACCATCTTGTTTGCTATTAACCACTCTACAAATCTTGGTGTCAACTGCAAAGTTGCTTAACATTCTCCCCACATTTTCATCTATACCTTTTATGTATATAACTATAGGGGTCCCAGTACTGATCCTTGTGATACACCACTGGCTTCCTGTCACCATCCCCTTTGTGTCCTATTACTAAACCAGTTTCTGATCCATCTCACCAAGTTTCCCACAATTCCATGTGCTTTAACCTTCTCAATCACTCTCCCATGTGGGACTTTGTCAAAAGCTTGGCTAAAATCCATATAAATTACATCAACTGAACTTCCCACATGTACACACTTGATCACATTTTCAAAAAATTCTAACAAATTTGTTAGGATTGCGCTCCTTCTGACAAAGCCATACTGGCTATCCCTATTTAACACATGCCTTTCCATGTAGGTAGTAATTGTTCCTTCAGAATTTTCTCCAATTGTTTTCCTATCACTGACATGAGACACACCAGTCTGTAATTTCCTGGTTCATTCCTCCTACCCTTCTTAAGAAGTGGAACCACATTAGCCATCCTCCAGTCCTCTGACGCTTCCCCCTTGGCCAGAAGAGCAAAAAGAGGGTATGATATGGATCTGGCAGATAAAGTTAAAGATAATCCCAAGAGGTTCTGTAGCTATATTAAGGATCATGAGGGAGAGAAAAGGTCCCCTTAAAGATCAGCATGGCAATCTATGTGTGGAGCCACAGCAGATGAAGGAGATTTTTAATGAATATTTCTCTTCAGTATTTACTGAGGGGAGAATTATAGATGCTAAGGAAATAAGGGAAACAAGTGGAGATGTTTTGAACCGCATACATATTATCAGAGAGGAGTGTTTGCAGCCTTAGATTGCATTGAGGTGGATAAATCCCCTGGGTCTGATCAAGTCCATCCTCGGATGTTGTGGGAGGCTAGGGAAGAAATTACAAAGATCCTTGCAGAGATTTTTGCTTCATCTTTAGCCACTGGTGAAGTTCCAGAAGACTGGAGGGTGGCTAATGTTGTTCCATTGTTTAAGAAAGGTAGCAAAGACAAGCCAGGGAACTACACGCCAGTGAGCCTGACAACAGTGGTAGGCAAGTTTTTGGAGAGGATACTGAGGGATAGGATCAATCAAAATTTGAATAGTCAAGGTCTGATTTAGGGATAGTCAGCATGGATTTGTGCGCAGGAAGTCATATCTGACAAATCTTTTAGAGTTTTTTGAAGAGATAACCAAGAGGATAGATGAAGGCAGCGTAGTGGATGATGTCTATATGGACTTTATTGAGGCCTTTGACAAGGTCCCACATGGCAGGCCAGTCATGAAGGATAGGCTGCATTGGATCCAGGGAGAGCTAGCTAATTGGATTCAAAATTGGCTTGATGGTAAGTAGTAGAGAGTGATGGTTGAAGGTTGTTTCTCAGACTGGAGGCCTGTGACTAGTGGTGTGCCACAAGGGGCGGTGCTGGGACCTTTATTTGTTATTTACATAAATGACCTGGATGTGAATGTACAAGGCATGATTAGTAAGTTTGCAAATTATACAAAATTAGGAGGTATCGTTGACAGCGAGGAAGGTTAACAAAAATTACAGAGGGATCCTGATCAGATGGGGAAGTGGGCCGAGAGTTGACAAGTGCAATTCAATACAGCTAAGTGTGAGGTGTTGCACTTTGGAAAGTCAAACCAAGGTAGGACTTATACAGTAAATGGTAAGGTCCTGAGGAGTGTTGTGGAACAGAGGGACCTAGGAGTACAAGTACATAGTTCATTGAAAGCAGCGTCACAGGTGGGCAGGGTGGTGATTTAGCATGCTGACCTTCACGGTCGAGACATCGAGTATAGGAGTTGGGACATTAAATTATAGCTGTATAAGTCTTTGGTGAAGCCGCACTTGGTGTATTATGTACAGTTTTGGTCACCCTGTTATAGGAAAGACATAAGTAAACTGGAAAGTGTGCAAAGACGGTTTATGAGGATATTGCCAGGACTAATTGTCCTGAGTTATAGGGAGAGGTTGGCCAGGATAGGACTATATTCCTTGGAATGTAGGAGAATGAGGGGTGGCCTTATTGAGATGTATAAAATCATGAGGGGCATAGATAGAATGAATGCACACAGTCTTTTTCCCAGGGATGGGGAATTGAAAACTAGAGGGCATAGGTTTAAGGTGAGAGAGGAAAGATTTAAGAAGGACCTGAGGGACAACTTCTTCAAGCAGAGAGTGGTGCGTATATGGAATGGACTGCTGGAGAAAGTGGTTGAGGCGGGTACAACAGCAACATTTAAGAAAGAATTTGGATAGGTACATGGCTGGGAAGGGTTTAGAGGGATACGGACCAAATGTGGTCAATTGGAACGAGCTGAGTGGGCACCATGGTCAGTATGGACCAGTTTGGGTCACGGGGCCTGTTTCCATGTTGTATTACTGTATGACTCTAATTAAAATGTTCAATTCTCTACCAAAGAAGGTAGTGAAAGTTAGGTGCTTAAATGCATTCAAGACGCAATTTGCTGGTGCTGCAGAAATGAGTACAACGGAACATTGTTAGGAGGACATAAAGGGATAAGGGATAAAGGAATTAAAGGTTATGGTGAGTGGGCGGGTAAGTGGAGCTGAGTCTCAAAAAGATCAGCCATGATCTTATTAAATGGTGGAGCAGGCTCGAAGGGCCGGACAGCCTACTCCTGCTCCTAGTTCTTATGTTCTTATGTTATGTTCTTATGATATAG